GGCCACCGCCCGCAGTCCCGCTCCGGGGACCCCTACCCCCCACCCCGTGGACGGGGCGCCTGTTCTCTGTGTTCCTCGGAAGGACGAGGGTCTGGATTTGGCCTGAGGAGGACCATCGGGGAAGGCTTGGCGCCTCGTGCGGGACATGTAGCCTAAGTGCGCTTAGCCGCCGGGGTGTCCACAGGGCCCGATGCTGGTCAGCGAGACGGGAATGCGAGGACTGTATGTAGCTCGTTTACCTGGTTCAGTGGTTGCCCACCCCAGCAGGCGTTTGTCTTTTGGGTTTTTGTTTGTTGTTTTTTTTAGTATATTTTTTATTGATTTCAGAGAGGAAGGGACAGGGAGAGAGAGAGAGAAACATCCATGAAGAGAGAGAGTCATTGATCAGCTGCCTCCTGCACGCCCCCCACTGGGGATTCAGCGCAACCAGACGTGTGTCCTGACCAGGAATCCGATTGTGACCTCCTGGTTCATAGGCCGGTGCTCCACCACTGAGCCACACCTGCTGGGCGGTTTTTTGTTTTTTAATCCCAGGTGATTCTGATGCAAACCACTGACACAGCTGGAAAATTATGACTTGTGATTTTCCAAACTCACTGCATCACCTGCTCTGTGTGAACTGTGATTTTCTGATTCTAGGGTTTTATTTTCCTCTCTGAGTTTTGGTGGACACTAAGTGATGGACTGCCACTTTCACTCGTTAGGCTGATACTAAAACTGTCTGAAGTATCAGGGGGAGCTGCACTCACAGGCCTTTACAAGGCAAGTCAGAGCGGAGCCTTTAACTGCAGCCTCCCTTTTCCAGCTGCGTGAGCCTAAGCCATTTGCAGGGCTTACTCAGACTCCCTCCTGGGCACCAGGCATGTGGACAGCACAGCCCATCCACCTCCAGGAGCGGATCGATCCTGTGCGTAGCATCACCAGGGTTTAGTGTAAGAAAAATGTTTGGGCGTAGAGTTCAAAATAAATTTTTTTTTTAAAGTTTGGAAGTAAGAGATCTAAACAGACTTTTCTGTAAAGAGCCACTGTAAACATTGTAGGTTTCCAGGCCATATGGTTTGTGTCAGGACCATAAAACTACCTGCAGCTGTAGTGGGAAGCAGCCATGGACAATACATGAGAGAATAGGCATGACAATATTCCAATAAAACTGTTTAAGTATGTTATTATTTACTTCAGAGAGAAGAAGGGGGAGGGAGAGAGAAACATCGATGAGAGGAACATCCATCAGCTGCCTCCTACACTCCGCCCCTGGGGATCCAGGCAGCAACCTGGACATGTGCCCTGACCGGGAATCTAACCTGCAACCCCCTGGTGCATGGGGTGGTGCTCAATGAAACTTTATTTATGGACACTGAAATTTTCATTTCATGTGATTTTTACACACCACAGAAAATTATTCTTTTGCTCACCCCTACACCCCCGCTACTTAAAAAAGTAAAAAGCATTCTTAGCTTGCAGACATACAAAGACAGGTAGTGGGACAAATGTGGCCAGACTGCCACAGTTCGCTGACGCCCAGACTGTTTAACCTGCAGGTGATGCCCAGTGATGTCCGGACACGTGTGAATGGATTCACCACGAACCCTCTGCAAGCCCAAAGAGAAGGACTGTATTTCAAGGAAACGGACCACGAATGTGTCTGGCAGGTGATTGTCCTCTTTATGCTACCTATTGAAGGTTTGAAGAACCTTAAGAAAAGAATTTGATTTCAGTTTTCTGTTCCTGACTGTACAACAGACTTAGCCTATTATTGCAATGGCAGTGTTTGCAATATTTGAGCAGCGGTCTAGTGCCAGGAGAGCATATGGAAAAGGAAGCACTAACAGAGAGCCCGGTTTTGGGAAATGTTTGTTCCTGAATCTCTCAACTAAACCTGGCTGAACTGCCTCTCTCCACTACAGTCCCTCCTTCATATTCTACATCCTCCTTCACACACACACACACACACACACACACACACACACACACACAGGGCCCTAGCTGAGTGGCTCAGTTGGTTGGAGCATCGCCCCATACGCCAAAAAGGTTGTGGCTTCAATCCCCAATTGGGGCAACTGATCAATGTTTCTCTCTCTCATTCGGAGAGTGTATGTGTGTGTCTTCCTCTGGCTCTCTCTCCCTTCCTCTCTGTCTAAAACAAGTAAAAACATATCCTCAGGTGAGGATAAAAACACATGACATCATCCTGTGCTCCAAGCCTCTAGGCTTTGTGTGGCCTATAAGGATTTAAGGAGATGAATGAAATCACACTTCCTGGAAGCCCCGATTATAACTAGGCACGCTTCCTCCACACTATAAACCACGTAGCCTCATTTTACAGACGAGGAAACTGAAGCTAAGAAAGAGGAATAACTCTTCCACAGTCATGCAGCAGAAAACGGAGGTGCTGGGGTTCAAGCCCAGAGCTGTCCATTGGGGTAGGGATATATTACAATCAATTGGGGAACTTGTTCAAAATACCCATGCTGTCCTGACAACAGTCTGAAACTTTGTGAGCAAGGCAACTAAATTAGTGGAACAAAGTCCAAAAACAAACGTATGAACATACGGCAGCCAGGAAATGGTGAAAAACACGGCTGGAGCGTAACTGCTTGTCCTGTGATTAGAACCAAGAAAGGACATTCCATTTTATTCTTACCCAGGAAAACACAGGTGTGGTTGTGAAGACCAATCTGCATGTATCTTCTGGTGGCGCCATACCCCGAGGGCATGCATCCTAGCATCTGTGCGGAAGCCACAGCGAAGCTGGGTGAGTGTGCCTCCCAGCGCCGGTTTTGTTCCCTATGGAAGTCGCATCTTCAGACTGCAAGTGACAGAGACCAAGTCAGCTGGGACGGAAAGTCAGACTTGATTGGGAGGAGACTGGGGGTACTACAGAACCTCTGGAAGGATGGGGTCCAGCTGAGCCACAGGGAAGGCAGATTCCAGGGACGGTAACGCGGTGGAACTTCTCCCTGGTCTCTCCTGAGAGGGTCAGGTTTGTTCTCTCCCATTCCACTGCCTCCTTTCCTGGCTTGTATCATGGCCAAGCCTCACAGTCTACCTCTTGGTTTCTTTTAAGACCCTGATTTGACCCATCATGGGTCATATGGTTTAGCCTTATATCATTCAGCTCAGATGAGGGGAGGAGGGAGGCAACAGGTTTAAAGGTGTATCTCCCGGGGGCCTCCCTATATAAAGAGACCTTTTACAGAAAAAGAAATTACTGTGAGCCAGGCCAGCAGTTCGTTGGTATCTGCTGCATTCTCCTTCCGTGTCTACACATTTTTGAATAAAGATTTAATATAGAACTGGGAAATTATACCTATGAGAGTGGAGCTTAATAAACGGTATAAATTGAGTTTGTGTTTAGGTTTTTAATGTAAATTGAACTTTCTAAAAATTTTTGGAATCGCATGAACACTCTTTTGAAATAGTAGAAGCCTCTACTTCTACTAGTAAGGAAAGCAGTACTTCATTAATTCTTCCGACAAATACTCACTGGTCTACGATGTGTGAGGCACTATCCTAATCCATCAGGAAAGCACCGCTGGTGGAGACAGTCTCCGCCTCCGTGCCTCTGCGTGTGCTGTCCCATCTTCCTGAAATGTCCTTTCCTCTTCCCGCCTCTTCACATCCAGTAGGTAAATTCCTAAACACCATTGGAGACCCACGTGAGACCCTGGGCCTCTCTCCCTGTGCTGTGTGTTTTATGCAGACCTTTATGGTCACTGCCATTATAGTTCTTTGTTTTCCTAGACTGTGAGCCCCTAGAAGGCAAGAGCTGGGTTGTAATCACTCCCCTTTCTCTAGTACCTGAGATGGTGTCCAATGTGGAATGGGCGATTAATCTGTTTGATGAACAAATAAATGAATGGCCCCCGCCTAACAGAATCAGGGAAGGCTCCGGAGAGCTGAATCTTAAAGGGTTAATTGAGAAATTAGGTGGCATCACAGAAACTATATATTCTTCTTTTTTTTTTTAGAGTCTCACATTTTTAATACTCCCATTGTCCTATTGTGTATATACATCACACACACAATGACCAGTGGTTCTTAACTAGCAGCAATTTTGCCACCCCCACTCCCACCACCACCACCCCACCCCCACCCCCGGATATCAGGCAATGAATGTTTGGAGGCTTTTCATATTTCTTGACTGGAGTGGGGGGCGGCGGAAAGGAGACCAAGATGCTGCTAAACATCCCACACTGCACAGGGCAGTCTTTCACAACAAAGAATTATCTAGTCCAGAATGTCGATAATGCTGAGGTAGTCTATTTGCACAGCTTTTAACCAGCCCACATCATCTCATCAGGCAGCAATGGCAGGTGAGGGGGGGACCACTTCCTCGTCCCCAGGAAAGAGGTGGGAGAGCAGAAGTGGTCAGGACCCCAGGACCGCGTTTACCTTCCCCTTCCCCCCAGGACTCCTCGCTCAGCACCACACTGCCTACCCATCCTACTCCATATGCCTGGCCACAGGAAGGGCAGGACGCCAGCCCCACAGCGCAAAGGGGCTAAAAGCCTGGCTGGGAAATGGACCGACGGGGGTCTGGTTCCCTAGAGAGAGCGAGGCTTTCTCTTCTTTCAGCGAGAGCTGGGAGCAGCATTTCCTGCCAAACCCAGAGCAAGACTAGTTTCCAGAGACTCAAAGGGAAGGAAATCCTACTTGCTGTCACCAGCTTTGCATTGTAAAGAGGGAAGGAGGAAACGGAAGAGAGGGAGAGGGTGGGTCCTGGTCTACCCCACCCCTTGCGCCCTGCCCAGCTGCCCAGATCCAGCCCACAGGTTGACAGGTTGCTGCCAAGCAGTCCCACGGCTCCGGGCTCGGCTCTAAGGACCCACAGAGATCACAGGACCACGCAGTGCTGTCTGGAGCCACCGAGAGTTCTGAGTAGGTCACTCACGGGTGCCGGGCCAGTGACCGGCCGGGTGGGATGGAGCTGGGGAGGGGGTGAGTTTGTCCAACTCCGAGGGAGTGGAATTTGCCTCGTGCTCTGCATCTTCCACCCGGTTAGACCATCCCTACTTCATCCACCCTGTCCCAGGGGGTGTCCTCTGTGCGGGGCCCGTCTGGATCAGCTGGGCCCTCAGAGGAAGGAGGGGGAGGGAAGGAGGGGGGCAGACCTCTCGGAGATGGACGAGGGGCCTGCTGCTTGGGCGTGGGCGCTGCGCTCCTGTTATCACACCGAGGGGGTCCGTTTGCCTGTGCGTAAAGTCCAGTGAGACACGACAGGAGTGTGCAGCCAGGAAAGTCCGGATTCATTAAGGAGATGGCACCATGCCCAGACCCACAGGTAGTTCATGCTCAAACCTGGCTCTTGGCAGGTGTCCAGGGGATGATCAGGAGAAAAACCATCAGTCATGGTGAGAGTGGAGTTTGGGTCCTGGTCTCTCCTGATGGGTCAGTGCTGGGGGAACTGATCACTGCATCTTGTCAGCCTTGAAGGTGCCCTGTCCAATTTCGCAAGGGTTTGTTCTGTATGTGAGCACTGCATCCGGTCCTGATGGGTGAGTCAGGCACTAGGTGAGACCAGTTTGAGTCAAAGCTAAAAATTAAAAAATAAAATAAAAGGCCAGATTAAAGAAAATAAGGTCTCTGGGCAGTTACACCAGTGACACACCGGGTGGGGATTCCAACTCGCAGGGAGTGGAATTTGCCGCGAGTTCCGGAGTATTTTCCTGCTCCGCAGCAGTCACCTGTGAGGCCATGGCTACTTCATCCACCCTGTCCCAGGGCCGGCCCACAGAGGCCTGCATGGGCTTGGACGCTGCATTCCTGGTATCAGACTGAAGGGGTCCATTTGCCTGCATGCGTCAAAGCCCAATGAGACACAAACAGGAGTTTGCGGCCAAGAAAGTAAGGATGTATGAAGGAGATGGTGCCATTCACGGAGTCCCACGTAGCTCATGCTCAAAGACCTGGCTCACCATGGCTCCCAGGGGGTGGGGCAAAAGTAGGTTGTGAGTAAGTGAGACAGAGTTTGTTCTCGTGTTATTATTTAATTATTGTATTACTTTCCATATGAGCTATAAGCCTACCTTTGCCCCACCCGAAGCCTACTTTTGCCCCACCCTGTATAGGACAGAAATCCTTAGTCATGATGACCAATGGAGTTTGGGTCCCGGTCTCCACTGCTTGGTCAGTGCTAGGGTAGGGGGTATTTATCACCGCAGCTGGGCCCGATATCAGCCTTGGAGTTGCTCTGTTCATTATTGAAAGTGATTGTTCTGGGGGATTGTTCCACTTTCCTGTGTCCAAAGCTAGAACACAACCGAGGCCACGATTTTATGTTTACCTCTGCCTCAGTAGTCACAGACCCAGGACCTTGCTCCTAAGACGCCTAATTGTTAAGCAGAACGCCGTTGTCCTGGTGGCTTAAAGATTCAGCAAAGGAAGAAAAAAAAAGATTCAGCGAAGGAGAGGTTGGTGGGTGCGTCAGGGCACTAGGTGAGGCCAGTGTGAATCAAAGCTAAAAGTAAAACTAAGAGGCCAGATTAAAGAAAAGAAGGTTTCTGCCCTAACTCCCGGAAGGCCCTCATGAGGCTCCCTGCCTCGCTGTGCTCTGTGTCCCCAGGAAACATGTTAGCCGTGCACTTTGACCAGCCGGGAGGACCAGAAAACCTCTACCTGAAGGAGGTGGCCAAGCCAAGCCCAGGAGAGGGAGAAGTCCTCCTGAAGGTGGCAGCCAGTGCCCTGAACCGGGCCGACATTCTCCAGGTACTCAGGGGCCAGGGCAGGACTCCAGAGCCTTCAATAAACATGCAGACAGATAAGGAGCAACCTAGGGCACTGCCAGCAACGCTCATGGTGAGGTTATGCTGGGGGTGCTGAGTCCTAGAACCATATACTCTCCTTTGTTTACACAAAATGCAGGGATACAGTATTTGCAAAGCAGAATTCACCCTGAGTTAATCCGTAGCCTGCTCAGGCTTCCAGAGAGGGAGAAGGGATTTACAGTTTGTTGAGCAGTGGTGTACGGTAGGCCATGCTCTACTCATTTACTCCACAGGCAATCTGGTTTACCATTTGTACTCTACAGGTAAAGAAACTGAGGGTCCGAGAGGTTAATTATCCAAGGCCACAACACTAACAATCCTTGGGAGCTGTGATTAAAATTGAGGTCTTGTGGCTCCAAAGTCTGCTCTCTTTCCATTTTGAGGGTCCCGGAATGGAGAGGGAGCAGCACCCAGAATTTCTGTCTGTCTGCTATTTGAAGAGCTGGATTGGTAGGGGTATTTGAGAAATGTACACCAAAATCACCTGGGGCTTTTTTCCTAAACAAATGTGACGGGGACCCAGGTATGTGTACTTAGAAAAAGCTCCTCAGATGGCACACTCCTTGTTCAGTCCCTCTGGTCCATAGCCCTGGTCAGAGGCTTCTGAGGATCCCAGTAAGTCCTGGCACTTGATATAGGAGAACTGTCACTTAAGTGTCATGGTTTTGTTCCTAGTCCAGCTACTAAACTTACTTTGCAAACTTAGACAAGGCATTTCCCTGCCTAGGCCTCAGTTTCTCCATTTGTAAAACAGGGTTTAGGTGAGAGAAAAAGCTAAGGATCTTACTAATGTGACATCCAATGATTATGTGACCTCCTGTCTCTTATTTGTATGAAACAAATGATCTCTCCTCTTCTTTCCTACATTAAAAAACAAACACCTCGCCCTGGCTGGTTTGGCTCAGTGGATAGGGCATCAGCCTGCGGACTGAAGAGTCCCGGGTTTGATTCCAGCCAAGGGCACATGCCTGGGTTGTGGGCTTTATCTCCAGTGGAGGATGTGCAGGAAGCAGCCGATCAATGATTCTCTCTCATCATTGATGTTTCTATCT